TTTGGAATCTTTCTTCGTCATCGAAAAGCCTTATGTGGTGACAGAATTCTCGGTATTCATAAGGAAACACAAGAATACTGGACTGAATACAAGCATTTTCAAAAAGCCAAGCGCCTACCTATCAGTCAAGTCCGTACCAGACATCGTATAGTGTCTATCAAGAACATTGATGCCAATAAACTCGTAAGAGTTTGGTATCCAGTTTTCACTGTCACTAGACAAGATGGACATGTCTGGACATTCAGCGTAGCTGACTTCCCAAATCTTTATCTTGAAGATCCGGAGCATCTATACCATGAACTTCGGGATCTTACTATCAGAAGAGAAGGAGCAGTTGTCGGGCTTGAAGCTATAAAGAGGTATTTGAAGAGCCATGTTAAACTGGCTTTGGTCATTGACGTTCAGATGGGCTTTGAAGGTAATCAGAAAATCATAAACCTGAAAATACCTGATCAGGATATTGAAGACATTGAAGGCTATCCTCTCTATATTGTCCTTGAAGATCCGGAGTTTGGGGAGATCTATGATGGTGCAGAGAGAGCAAAAAGATTTATGAGGTTCAGTGAGTTGAATAAGTACTGTGATGGTACTATTAAGCTGGTGCGACGGGCTCTTGAAAGAATTAAGGCTGATAATGACAAAGCGGCGGAGAATGAAAGAATGAGTCCGAGAGAAAGGTATCTTCTGATTAATGCTTTGAACCTGTTAGATGATAAATTGCAATATCGGAGTGCTTTGAGAAGGATTGAAACTCATATGGGGCTTAGAAGATCAAGATTCACTATTTCTCGTGCTTGAATCCAAAGGGGGAGAATGTTGGGTTCAATGTAGTGATGTAATGTTGTATTCAAGCAGTTTCTCCTATTTTGTATTAGTTAGTGTTTAATGCTTTCTTAGTATAAATAAGGTGTTTAGTGATGTAATTGTAGTTAGTGCTAATCACATATTGTAATCACTTTTCAAGATATAATATTCAAACACTTGGTGAAATTCTCTCTCTACTTTGATTCTACTCTTGAGAAAGATAATCTGATTGCATGATATTTGGGAACTACAATAATGCTCTAGTTTGATCTAATAAATGCCCATTTTTCCTCTCTGCCACTCCGTTCTATTGAGGTGTTTTAACACATGAAGATTCTTGAATTATTCCCTCTTTTTGAAAATAGGAGGTGAGAGTTCGATTGAAAAAGTCTTGAGCATTATCGGATCTTATTTGTTGAATTTTTACTCCAAATTGATTTTTGACCATCGAAATGAAATTAGGGACAATAGTGCTAACATGAGACTTATGTTTTAATATCAACACCCAAGTAACCTGTGTACAATCATCAATGTGTACAATCATCAATGAAGGTCACGAACCATCTTGCACCCGACACATTGGAAATATTAGATGGACCCCAAATATCAGTGTGAATAAGATAAAAAGGAGAGTTGCTTCTTTTATCACTGATAAGAAAAGGGACACGCTTGTGTTTAGCAAGCTCACATACCTCAGAATGAAGGCTTTCAACATTGCTTCTTTTAAAAATAAGGAAAAATAACTTTAATAATTCTATATGAGGATGACCTAAACGACAATGATGAAGTATGTTTTTTCTTTATTGGAAAGAACAGATTCTGATATGAGAGAGTGAGATAATCTAGTACTTTTGGCATCTCAAGACAATATAGATCATCCTTTTCGCTAGCAAGTCCAATCGTCTTCCCCGAATCCTTTTCCTCAAGCAAACAATATTCGTCAAGTCCCAACCAAAATATGTCCGTCCTTTTTGAATTGCTGCAATTGCAACTATTGTTGTTCTTGTTGTTGTCCTTTGGAGACTTGGGACGACCTTTCCCTAGCATTAGTGCTTTAACTTGGTCAGAATTATGTTGCAATGTCAACTCCAACATAGGTTATGCCATTACTACCCTCTTTTGAGTAAAAGAACTCATAGTTTTTCCCCTCATAACATCTGCATTATAGCTCCGTGGAAAAAACTTGTCTGAAACAAGATCCCAATTTAAGTCATCATGATTGAAAGGAGCAATCAACAACTTGTCCTTATGAGCGCCTAATAAAAATTCCCATCCATTGCTCAGAGTACAAATTATCTGGTCCTTCGAATGTATGGACGACTTCTGCGCTGGTGGCAGTTCGCCCACGACTTCAATTTTTGTCAATCTGGTATACATTCATGACTAGAACGTGAGAGTTTGGGTAAGGAAAAGAGAGAAGGCGATGGTCGAAGTTTCAAATAAACATAGCCCAACCAAAATCTCCCATTAGCCGATGGCAATACAGGGTATGTCGAGGAAGTTAGGGTCTCTATTAAGTTTACCTTGGGTTTGGGCAAAATCAGATTCACTAGATTGGGCAGGGCTATAATAAAATACGTGAAACGGGCTCCATTGACTCAGTGACTTGATTGGGGTTGGGGATTACTAAAGTGGGCTCAGATGCATAGGACGGTAGAGAGACCGACGACGATACAAGATAGAGTCGCAACAGTGATGGCTGAGTGATTGGTGGCGGCGATAGCAAGGGTCGTCGCAATGGCGGTGGTTCTCCAACAACCTTGATTGTTGTTGATGCTGGTGCGATTTCAGGAGCGTAGCGTGAATGTTTGGCTCTTATTTATACTAACCCACTGCATAACCTACTTGTACTACCGCAGTGGTCACTTGTACCCAACCTACTAAATTTACCTACACTACAGAGGATATAATAGAAGGCCAATGGAGCTGTAAATAGTTAACCCTATCAAAACCATAGCGATAAAATTGATAAACACATAAGCAAATTACAAAAAACTTATCTCTAACATTCCCAAGTTAGAGCATGGTTATCGAATCCCGACTTGTGACATATATAGGATCAACACGGGCCACAAAGAGGCTTCATCAAAATGTTGGCTAGCAAGTCTCGAAACCATACCCACACCAGCTAATTAGAATGTTCATGAGAAGTTGTAACACCCGGATTTTTGGCAAGTAAAATCCAAGTTTTACGTGTGTTTTAATCCCTATAATAGCTTTATTAAGTATTTTGAAGTTTTGTTATGCTTGGGTATGAAAACAGGCAAGAAAGAACCAAGAAATGAAATTTCAGCACTCCCGGACCATGAAGAGAATACCTCGGGCGTGAAAGTTGGACAGCAACTTGGGATGGAGAAATTTTGGGCACCGGCAACCTTGGGTCGCGTCAGCGAGGTCGCGTACGACTCACAGCCCCTACAAATCCAATTTTCTCCTCTTTTCACCCAATTTCTCTTCACCAACTCATTTCCATTCCTTCTCATTCAGTCCAAGCACCCCCAATCAATTTCTTCAAGAGGTTTTTGAGATTGAAATCAGATATTCAAAGCTTGGGGACCCAAAGTCAAGATCTGCATCTTCAGGAACCACCTTTTCACCATTGTTGACCCCATTTTGGGGTTTTCTTGAAAACCCATTTGTAAGTTCATCCCTAACCTTTCAGAACCTTTATTCATGTTAAAAATTTTCATTTTAACCTCCTAGAACATTGGTTTTGATGTATCTTCAATATATTGAGTTTTGGTCAATTTTGGGTGTTTTGGGTGATTTGAGATTTTGACTAAGGTTTGTATGGAATATGGATCTGATTTTGGTGATACTTTTGGTGCATTTCAAGGTTTGGTTATGACCCTGATAAAGTTTCTAGAGATGGGTGTTTGTGGATCTAAAGATTTCACCATTTTGGAAGCTAAAGATGGATTTGGAACCTAGGTTTAACTTAACCTAGCAAGGTGAGTTCAAGTTGCTTTGTGAAAACTTTGTGCATGCCAAAAATGTCCATTTTGAGTCTTAAAAGTAGTTTCCTTGATATTTATCAAATGTTGAGTATTTGATGCAATTACATCTTTAGTATATTTGATTTAATAAATCTTGAGAAATGCTTATATTTGGGGATTTTGGACATTAGGCTAAATAAATCATAAAATGTGGTATTTTGATGATTTATGGTATAAATGAAGATTATTTGACGTTAATTGATTATTAGTGTAAATGGTTTTATTAACCATTTGGAAAATGCACCTTATTGTGTTATGAGGTGTTTTCGAAATAAAGGGCATGTTTGCATTTGGAAAATGATTTGTCTCAATCAATAATAAGTTTTTGAGTTAGAAATACTTTTAGAGCATGTAATTGCATAAACGTTGGTTAAATGCGTTTTATTGTTTATGTTAACTTTTATTTTAGTACTCAAATAAGAGTGGAGTTATCGGCTTCATTTTGGCCCATTTTAGTTTTGGCGATAGTTTGTCCGGTTTAAATTGCTCAATATTGAGCTTGGGCATGATTTGCATTTATTGCATCTTTATTTGAAAAATTACATGTTTTGGGTGTGTTGGTCATTCAATTTGGAGTCATTTGATTTTAGACTACAATACAATGTTTCCATAGGCTTGTGAGCCAGTTGTCTGATGAGTGGAGAGTTTTGATACTCTTACATTGAGATCAGTGCTTAAGTGAGAATGGTGGTCGTGTCAGTATATGAAGAGGGATCTGTGTGGGGTTGGACTCCGGGACCTCGGGTATTGCGGGATGGACTCCGGGACCCTCGTTCTGAGGTGTTGGCCTAGTTGAGTAGGCACTAAGGACTTGAGTCTTGAGGTGCTACCTGAAGTGGTAGGCACTAAGAACCATGAGCCTTGAGGTGCTATCTGATGGGGTAGGCACTAAGGTCATGATCTTTGAAGTAATACTTCAAAGAGTAGGCACTAAGATTATTGAGTCTTGAGGTGCTACCCAGAGTGGTAGGCACTAAGAACCATGAGCCTTGGGTGCTACTCGCAGGGGTAGGCACTAAGGACGTGGGCCTTGAGGTGTTACTCGTTTGGATAGACACCAAGGTCAATCGAATCTTGAGGTGCTGCTTACTTGGTGTTCGCCAGATTCGATGGAATTGGAATCTATAGAATGCAAGTGGATGTATATTGTGAAGCTTATTACCCAGGGGAGATTACAAAAACCAATTGAAAAAGAATTACCTCGATACTCTGCTTCCCAAACCATGTCCCAATAAGGCATTCCTCTTGATCTTCTCCAGGATACAAATACTGAAAGATATAGCAATCTCCACTGTAAAATTTAGATTGATCAGGAACTGCAAGAAGAATCTTCTCCTGGCCATTCACATGCCAAACCTGTGGGAATACAGTAATAGAGAACAAATTTAACACTCAACTACAGGTTCATTGCATTATTATTGTCTTAAGTAACATGGAAGAAAGGCTGTATGCTTACTAGAATATGATAAGTAGAAGACATGTCCTAAAAACAATTGCATGGTAAATTGATTAAAACATAGGATAGTTGCCCATGAACCAAAAGCCTAAGGCAATATTGTGTAGGCTCTCTAATGTCTCAAAGCTACTTTATCTATTTTTGGTACTCCACATACATAGTCCATGAAATCACTTGGCATACCTAGTCGCATAGCAAAATATAAGATAGCACAAATTTGAAAGTCTCTTTGCTTCCTCTAAAAAATGGAAGAGCAAGAACCAACGGACACTCATAAAACTTGCAATAACAGCAAAGAGGGAGGTTCAGGGAAAACCCCAAAAAAATTAAAAACTGAGGAACACCCTGGTAACCATGCATCTGGACGGTATGCACATATGCATAAGTAATTGAAGCTATTTCTTGGTTTTTATGCACGTGTGCATGCTATGCACATGTGCATACCGGACAAATTGCTTAGAAATTACTTGTATGCACATGTACATACCGTACAGATGAACGGCTACCAGGGTATTCCTCAGTTTTTTTTTTATTCTTTTGCAGTTTTTCCCTAAACCTAACCCTAACAGCAAATGATCTCTTATGTAAAATTCTTATGATCAGGGCATATACAGTTGTTGCTGATAACTAACAAGACACCATTTATGCACAGAAATATGATTTTACAAAACCTGCAAATTCCCAGAACAGTCGATATATGGTTGAGGTTCCTCTTTGCTGGGGGCAGCTTTAAGTAGGCCTTTCACATTGACCCCTTGGCGTTTTAGAAGTGCTACAAAATCATCAATTAGGAACAGTGGAAATCATGAACAAGAACTATTTATCATACATCAGTTATTACGCAGGTAACAACTATATCAATTGTATTCTCTTGAGTAATGCTGATGAACAAAAGTTAGCATATAATCACTAACCAGCCACCTTGCCTCTACCATCCTCTGAGACCGCAGAAGCAGTTGATTGAGGCCAAGAGTCAAACTTGGATCGGAATGATACAGTCTCAAAATTTTCAATCACACGAATTATACGAGATTTTCGTCTATCCTTGCTACGTACATATTCCTATGAGTTGACATTGACAACAATAAGTGGAAAAGAATTACGTCAATATAAGAACCTTAGCAAATGAAACAATGTAATAGTACTTCTGTGGCTCCACTTGCAGCTTTCCTTTCATCAAGAGAAGTACTTCTCCCCAACCATAAATAAATTTCTACCCCACAGTCCAGAAGATAGCATTTATTTGTGTCTAGCAACTCCCTTGTCAAGGGATCAGCATCAACTGGTTCTGTCTGCCCCTTCGCAACACTTGAATACCAAACACAAATCTTGTCAGAACTGCTACATTCAATTTAACATTAAACAAAATTTATCTAAATTTATTTATTAAACATCCAACCCCTCATCCATTCACATATTAAATAAGAATGTAAAAATAACTGGCAGGCAAATCTACAGGATTTTAGAATGAATGCTGGGCTGGGCCACCTCGAATGGCATGAGCCGCATAAAGTCTTAAAAGTACTCAATTTTAAGATCACAGAGATGATAAAGTTAGCAAATCGCTCCAGATGTCATGCACATATACAATACAGGCCAAGAACGCTGAAGATAGAGTGATGATGTCAATATGGTATTGTTATAGCTGGGGAACAGCATAGATAAGAGCAATGTGCCAATAGAGAAGAGAATCAATTTAGGTTTTAACAATAGGGGCACAGAAATAGCTTTTCAAAATCATTGCATAATTATGTGATTTTACATAATAATAATAATAATAATTAATAACGCGAATATTCCAATTTCTTAATGGGCTTTCCTTTGATAAAAAGCAATTTTGTTTTATGTTTTAGGACCAGAGATATAGTTAGAATTAGTTGAAAAGAAAAAATGGCCCTGAAATGATGGAATGGAGGAAGATTAGAAGTAATTGAGAAGAAAATTCAGTTGCCTGACCATATTTTAAAGATCCCAGACACGTTAACATCTGGTTTATAACAGTTCTTTTTCTTATTGTTCTCGCAGCTAACAGAAATAGGTCTCTGGGTTATTTTTACTACATACTGGAAGTTGTCATTGTTACCGGACAATGGCACCTGTGACAAGACCTTGAACTCATGGGATATGCTATGTAGCCTAACAAATTGAATAAAAGCTCATCAACTCTAACTCCCATGTTCGTCAAACTAAAAGAAACATATTTTCCCAATAAACCTTGGAAAATCCAATGAAATTTTTACAAAACAACAAAGTCATAAGAGCAATTGAAACTCGCAGATTTTTATGGGGAAGAATAAATACAGGGCAGAATTTGTATTTGTATAAGCTAATATGGAGGGACTACCATATACAGTGAGGTTTCTGTTACATTCAGAAACATCATATACAAAAGAAAGGTCTCACTTAATCAGCCAAAATACCCATAAATTGTGTTTAACTACCTTAAAAGTAGATGGTTCTTGGAAAATATACATCTCAATTTTCTCAATTTCATTTGTCAAAAAGATACTTATGCCATATCTAAGGGAGATTTGAATATTCCTAATGGCACATCCATTTTAGTGAAAGATCTTCCATAGAAAATGTTCTCATTATCAGTTGGTACATAAAACCAGTGATGGAGGACCGGAGGATTCGCAGGTGCAGTTGCCCTTCCTCCAATTTTTGTAATTAACATAGGTGTTTCAAAATTTTAGTATAAAATCATACATTATTCAATTTATAACCCCCAAAAAGATTTTGTAAATATCTCCCTCCCCCTTCGTAGATATTCTAGCTCCACAACTGTGTAATCAGCTGACACGTTTTACAGTCAAATAGAACATGTAACATCTTTCCCCATAAAATGTGTGATAGAGCTCAAATCTGTAAGGTGTTTTCTAATATGTCAAATACTTTTCTTTATTTCATTCTCATCTCCTGACCATTTTCCATGTAAACAAACAACCATCTTAGTTGAACAGCAACAACAAAATATTTTCACTTTGCACATATTGACCTCCACATTGTTGAAGTGGAGACAGAGTTACTCTTGACCTCCATGTTTTTTTTCTTGTATTGATTTTTCATCATTACAGTTCATGTTGGTATCTTCACTCTTCCTAACTAGCACATTTATTGGTCGCCTAACTGATAATGGTACATAAATACAGTCATACATGCATAAAGCAGACATGAAATGCCAAAACTATATTACCAAAATAGCTGAGCAGGAAGTGCTTCAGTAGTTATAGTGTCATCTGTTGCTGTTTTCCTGGGAAGTGGAGCAAAGCCACCAAAAAAGCCCCAGAACTCTCCCGTTTCGGCATCAGACATTAGCCTCCCATCCTCTGCCCAAGAAAACCAGAAGTAAGACTTCAAATTGTTAAATTTCAGGTAATTACTCAGTAAAATATCCAGTTACCAATAGTAGCTATGTCACACTTCCCATCATGGTAAGTATCTTTGATGTGCTGCAGAACTTCAAGTGCTTTAGCCCTTTCTTGAATGGATGACCTGGACCCGTTAAACTGGAATAACTTGTGTGCAGTATCCAAGATAAAGATGTCATCGTGATTGAGTGAGGATCGAGCAAAAGGAACCTGTCCCCAATAATTTAAATTGAGATAATCTAAACAGCTTGTGTTGACAATCTGTCGTGGGGAAGCAGTAAGAACAAAGACTTGCCTCTTTTACATGAGCTACATGTTTCCCTTGGCAAATGAACATCCGAATTTTGTGCTCTTCAGGTTTAGTATGATTAAAAGCTGATGCAACACCACCATCTTGAGGTATAATACATGGTTTAAAGTAAGAGAGAAACCTCTCTGTTTCATGTCCTTGTACTTCACGATATTGAACAGCACGTCCTCCAAGAGCAGCATCAAGTTCAATCGTCTTTAAAGCTGCAGTGCCAGCTTCATCCTGTATCAAGATATTTGATATATATGCAAGGGTTATACATCAACTATTGTGAATGGTTCGATGCACAATAATCGAATCTGAATTGGAGATGAAGGAATTCATTTGGATACATGCAATTGCGATCGGATATTGACTAGCTATTACAACATGCACCACAGGAAAGAAAATCATGAAGAGGATACTTCTATTCATAGCTCACCTGACTTGTATCTTTACCAAGCCAATAATGTATATCATGACGTAAGGCACCACTTTTCAAAGCATTGGTCTGTAAAAGAAATGGTTTAGTTAACGAAATAGATAAAAAAAACAAATGAGCTTTTTACTCAAAAAGTAAATATTCTCAAAATTAGTATTGCTATATTACCGTTGACAATTTTAAGTTTATATTCTCACTAGACATTTTGAAATCAATAGCTTAGAGTTATAACTAGATGTTTTCAAAGTTACCATTTAGATAATCATCCTCTAAAGTTTCAAAAAAACTAACTACTAAACCACATTTGTGCTAAGTAGAAAAAAATCTATGAAAAACGAACTTCTCATAGTTGAAATTTAATTAATTGCATAAGAAATGTAACAGTTATTTGGCGTCATTTTTAGATGCAATTTAGCTCCTTCAGGTGAGAATGAGAACTCATTAAAGTGAAAAGTGGATAACCAGAAGTTAAACCATTAACGTGATGTATATCTATGAAATGTTTAAGCATTTGAGCTTGGAAATTCATGAAAAGAGTAAAAAGGCCTGTCCTATAGAACATTGCAACATTCAATTCCTGACATAGTTCAATGGAAATGTTTCGACTATTAGCCCAAAGCCGTAATGTTATCTGCCTCATTTTCAAAAGTCATTCAGCTCCTTTACTTTGAGGGTCTAGAATGGAAGTTTATTAAAGTGAAAAGCCTACAAATTAAAGTGAAAAGTAAATAAACAGCACTTAAACTTTTTCTCCTATGATATCTAGCAAACGCATAGCGTTTGAGTTTGAAGTACTTCGAAAGAGTAAATAGGCACAATAGTTTCATACTCTCTCCGTCCCATAAAAATTACGACATTGTAGTTTAAGGTAATTGTTAGATTATTAATCCAGTGTCAAAAACACCCTCAAAAAGATTGGGGAATCTTAATGGACCAAAATTAATACCGTCAATAGTCTGTAACAATGACACCAACCAAATATGTACTTTCAGCTTCAAACTTTGCCAAGAAACGTTGCAATTAATATTTAATATTTGAAAATAGAAATGGTTGCATTTTTTACAGAAGGAAGGAAGTATATAATTGCTACATTTCATATTACGTGAAAAAATAATAGAATACCACCTTCACTTATAAGATTTGGATTCTGTAAACACGCTTAGAAATGATCTATCATTGTCTGCCTATTGTAGTATCACAGTTTACAGCTAAAAGTTTAAAACTTGTGCCATTATCTTGGGATGGAATTAAGAGAGGCACTAAATCCATGAAATGAGTAAAAGAATTCTTGGTGCTCAGTAAGTGTGAAGATCCAGGAAACATTTCTTTGCATAGAATGTACAAGTTCAAAATCACAACTTCATGCATTCTAGAACACTGTCATGACAAGTTTTCAAATGACTAAAGAGGGCAATTAGCAGTAGATTTTGCTTAAATCACAGAGCTGCTTGAACAAGGTAGAGTAAGTCAGTGTTGATAATGAGTATATCATAAAACATTAGTGGCAATACTAGGCTCATTACTTAAGAGGGGCAAAATTCAGAAAATAACAAAGTAAAAGAGTAGGACGAATACAATTACAAGTAAAAACGTCTAAAAATGCATAGGCTTTGGGACTAAAAGTGCAAATGACTATCAGCACATGATACAATTATCAGTAAGCTCATACTTTTATAGTAAACTACAATATGATTGCTGCTACAGAAAAGAAGGTTCATCTGTATCAAGAGTAAAAGTTCAAACCTTCAAAATAACATAGGAGTCCCCTGTAAAGAAATTGCCATTAGAAGAGTGTAGAACAGGAACTGGCTTAAAGTTTTCGATGCGCCATACTTCAATGCCTCTACAAATTTGTCAAGGAGGTCATAAAAGTTGAACATCCATAAATAAAAATCCCATCCACAAGCATATAGTCTATCCTATATGATGCAACAACAATAGTTGGTTTAGGTTTCGCATAACTTTACCCTTCAATTAATCCTAAATACTGCAGACAAAATTAACTATATCTATATCATGGTATAAGGACAACAATATGTTCCTACCCTGATAAATTTGTAACACGATGCAGTAAAAAACAAAGGATACGCTTTCTGGCCAGCTCCTTGAAAGGCTGGATCCAAATCTCTCATAGAAACAGACATACTGCTCCTCACTTCAGTTTGTCAATTATTTTTATGTCACAACCTGGATATTAGGATGAAATACCTAAAAACCAGGAAATATGTACAAAAATTAGAGGTTAGAAGTTGCCATAAGAACCATGAGTGCGCAATTGTATGTTAGCAGGCATACCATAGTGGATGCAACATGAATTCAGCATTTGATTTTGATTAATACTAAAAGGGGCAAAATCACCTCAAATGAAACTTGAATATAAAAGAAACATTTTCAGAATAGATAGAAAACGAATAAAAGGATGGAAAACACATTAGTTCATCATGGTATTAGGTGAACCTCGTATTTAATATCAACCTCAAAGGATGCAGAGAGTTCAAATTTGTTTGCATGGTTCCAAATCTGTAGTACTTGCAAGATTTTGGTCACTGACTAGCGGTAAAGATCCAAGGTGACATGTGCGTATCCTTTAATGCTACTCTATGATAATCTGAAGTGCAGCTTCATTTACTACCTAATATATAGCCCAATTACAGGTTTTTAGCATCTGCAGTTATCAGGCATTTTATACACCAGGAAAACATGACTCAGTAATTTCATGAGCTAATCGAATCTTACTTTACAGGTATTCATATCGGTTTATTGTTATCTTCATGAGCCACATATAAGCTTCACACAGAAAAGTTGAATCATGTATCATTATTCAATGTGGTACAGCTCATGACAGGATCACCTGAGTGCCAAGAGTCATGTTTCTCTTTAAAAAGATGCCAGTCTGTCATAACTTTGTATGTTCCAGATATGGCATTGTGCAATATATGATTGACTTGTTAGATGCAACTCTGCATCGGCATGTATTTTTTTATTATACCTCCAATGGGAATGCCTGTGGCCTTATTGCACAAGGGCATATATCAACACCGTCTCTAATTCTTCAGAACAATGGGATATCCAAAAATTATTAAAATAAAAGGATTTATGCAAGTAATAACCCTTGAAAATATAACTCCACTTTGTTCTGATTTCAACTTAATCCACCAATTTCAGAATCATGGAGGTTTAATTTCTTCTTTATTTTGCTTGCAACAGCTGCCTTGCATATGAATTTAGCTATTCTGTCAAGAAAGATCAGAAGAACCTACTTGATTCTAAGAGCTTTCTCTCTATATTCCTTGAATTATGAAACCTTCTTTCTTAAATTTGAACAGCATAATCACAATTTTTGGGTAAGGCTGCTAGGTGCTGAGATAGGGTAGCTAAAGTCAGCCGAGATTATAGAATCAAATCCATACATTACCCAGGATGAAGCCATTGAAAAAGGGTCACTCCTTGTGATCCATAAACAACCAAATCATTTCATAAGAAGGAGCAAAAGATTGCGAAAACCAAAATTTCCCCAGTGAAGATATTATCCTATAGAGTAGCTTACACAAATTTCAAAGTTTTGGCATCCCCACATAACCAGAAATAAAATACATAATGATTAATTACTTCATACATTGTAACGATTCATATCTTATAGCTAACAAGACCAGGCGTAGAAAAACCCTCCGCAATTCGCGGAATCTCTTAGTAGCTCGTTCGTAACCAATATCAGCCCAACAAAAGCATCGATATGCAAGATCAAATCGAATGCACTTGAATTCAAGTTCAATGAACACCTAACTTACTTTAGAAAAGCCTTCATTCAACATGAAAATTCAAACTAGTAGTAATTAAACAAGGTTACCTAGCTCGTGTACTTGGACCGAATTGCGAAACAAGTAACGGGGAGATCCAACTCTAGAAGTAGAAATTCAATGGAAGCTTTGTTGGCGATGGAGTTGAAAGTTGGGAGAATGGAAGAAGGAGGGAATGATGAAATGGCAGACGTGGTGGTCACTAATGGATGCCCAAAAGCTCCCACGACACAACACGCACACAACTCTTTGTTTACAGTACTCAGTAGGAGTAGCCTATATTATTATAGAATCTCTTACTAAATAGATTGACCAATCGTACAACGTCGTATGTCACCTTCTAATACTTCCTATAATTTTTTTAAAATAGGTGATTAAAATATATATTTTTTTAAATTACATTTATCTATTTTAAAAAAATTAACATAAATTATATTATTATAATATTCCTTAATTTATCATCTGAATAAATTTTTAAAAAAAACTTTTTATCTATACTATATTATAAAAATTTGATAAAAACTCCTAAAAACCATTTTTAATACATGAAGGATTGCATATTGATGTATATTACTTAAAATTCAAGATTACAAGTAAATTATGCATAAATACAACTTATTAAAGCTCAATGTTTGAATTTATGTAACTAACTGTGGATAAACATAATCAAATAAGGGATAAACATCTCATTTTAAAATATAAAAAAACTAAAATATAATTAGGATAATTATCAAGTTTTAATAAAATAATCAATTATTATCTTTATAAAAAAATTATATTATTAAACCAAATATAAATTACTTTGTTATTGAACCTAAATTAAATTATAATAAGAAAATTGAATTAAAAAATTACACAAAAAATAGGAATTTTAAATAATTAATTTGATACTAATATCGATATATTTTTTGCCAAATTTTTATGATATCTTCAAATTTATATTTTATTCAAAAATAAAAAGATCATCGCTTTTTCCAAATAATATAAGACTATATTATAACATCGACTGAGATAAATAATAAAATGAAATATTAAAAATCAATATGTATCTCGCTGCATTGCGCGAGTACCCTTCTAGTAAAAAATAATAACTCAATCTCATTATTTTAAAGAACTTTATAAAACCTTTTTATTAGGATTAGAGCATTTTAAAGAACAAAAATTCATTTTTTCTATTTTAAAGAAGCTGTTAGAGATACTCTAAGCATTTATCAGTAAAAGATATTACCCAAACGTATATTATTATGTAACGTTTTGTGGTCACCAAAATGGATTGTTGGTAACCATCTTAAACCTTGTAAGTTCTTATCGGGTAAGAGTTTTTTCCCTCATTTATCAGGTAATACTCTTGGTCCTTGTTATTCCTTTTACCGGATAAGATTTCAATCTTTATCATACTCAATCGGTAGTGTAAGTGATATCAGTAACAATTCACTTGATAAATGTTTAGTAAACATCCATTTAATGTGGTTAAACGTTTAATGTTTATCTTCACTTTGAAATGTTTATTGAATAGTTTATGAAATTGAAACGTATTAGTAAGTCGTACTTATGTAATAACTAGAAGGATACTCGTACAATGCAGCGAGATATATTTCGATTTTAATGTTTTGTTTTATTTTGTCTCTATAGATGTTATAATATGGTTTTTATGCGGTTTTGAGAAAAATATAATGTTTTTATTTTTGAATAAAAGATAAATTTGAAGTTGTCATAAAATTTCGAAAATAAATATGTGAATATTAATATCAAATTAACTATTTAAAAGTTATTGTTTTTTTTTCAATTTTTTTATTATAATTTAATTTACATTTAGTAACAAAGTAATTTATTTTTGATTTAATAATATAATTTTTATAAAGATAATAATTAAGTATTATGTTAAAACTTAATAATTATCCTAATTATATTTTAGATTTTTTAGATTTAAAATAAAATGTTTATCTTGTATTTGAYTAKKTTATCTGCAGTTAGTTACATGAATTCAAACATGAAGCTTCGATGAGTTGTACTTATGCACGGTTTATTTGTAATCTTGAATTTTAAGTAATATGCATCAATACACAGTACTTAATGTATAAAGAATGATTTTTAAAAAAATTTGTCAAATGTTTTATAATATAGTATAGATAAGTTATAAATGTTAAATAATGTAGTGAAAATATTTTATGTTTGTGCATGCAAAAAAATTCAAACAAGTAGTAAATTAGGACAGGGACGGACCTAGAATTTTTTCCAAATGGTAACACCATTTGACTAAGAAAAATAACACTAACATGATTCAAACTCAGGTCTAGGATGGAAGAAAAGCCTTGCAAACTAACTCTATCGAATAAAACGGGTTCTCATTATAATTTCAAAAAATATATATATATGGTAGCATACAACAAATTAATACGATGACACTTTCCACGACCCTAAAACTTTTTACACCACGATGGATGAACAACACAGTGACACGGACTACCATATTCTCTACATTGGTGATAGGTACGTCACTGAATTAGAACTTATCTATCCTACATTAATAAGCATTTAAACCAAAGTATTAAATACAAATTTTAATGCATTGAATACAAGCTCTTAAAGTACAAAATAAAAAAAAAATCTCTTAATTACAAAGTTGTATGCATGATGTACAACTTATTAATACACTGATTTTTCACCACAGCCAAAAATGGAGTCATAGACTCCCTTTTCTTCTACAACAGTCTCAACAGTTCCCATTTGATATAAAATTTCTTTTTTCTCCTCCCTATAAAGCTCTCTTTTCTTTTCTTCAACATCCATTTTTACACATAAATACCCACTGAAACACAATATACAAGTATTGTATGCATGTTTTGAATTCTTTAAAAGCCTTTGACCTTTTTGGTCTTCATAAGAGACTAAAATTTTTGGTTGCTTTCACCTTTTTGATCTAACTATATCGGTGATCGGCCTCCAATACCATTTACTTTCCTCTTTTATTTTTTGTTTAAATTTCAAAATTAAAATGGAAGAACTAGCTTGTCATTATTTTATAGTTTTCTGATGATTCTTGTTCATTTCAATTTTACTTATCCAGTACATTGCATAGATACACTGCTAGTATTTATATACAAGGGAATCATAAGATAAGTTTATATATATCATATTTTAAGACTTTTTATTTATTATTATTATTATTATTATTAATTATTACATTATAAAACATGAAAAAATGATTAGAGAAAAAGAAAAAAGAGAGGTGAGGGCGGCGGAGACGACAAAAGGTAAGGGGTGGTCCGGTGAAGTAGTGTGACTGTCACTTTCCAAAAATGGGTGGTTCAGACAAAATGTTGTCACCGGCCAAGGTGGTCACTCAGTCATGCATCGCATAATGAGCCTGACCTTTTGGTATAAAGGGTAAAGATGCTTTTCCTCTTTTGGCAGCTATGCCAATTTCATAAGCTGGTATAAGAAACCTGTAAAATAGTAACTAAACCTAACCACAGTTGGTATGTGGTCCATCGTAATTATTAAAAGAAATGGTTCTTCGTGTAGCTCAACACTTTGACCCGGTTCTCAGTTTTCATGAAACGACTGTTCATAGTTGGGTTGGGACCAAACCAACATCGGATCATTTCATATGGCCCGGTTCTCAGTTTTCATGAAACGATTGTTCGTAGTTGGGTTGGGACCAAACCAACATCGGATCATTTCACATGGCTCGGTTCTCTGTTTTCATTTTTCCAGTTTTGGTTCCGGTTCGGTTTTATCGTTACTGTACAACCATGACCAGTTTGGCAAAAGTAAGGCATTTAACATATCGGTGAACGTGAATTCGTCTTGTAATTATTATATTTTGTTATGATTAATAAAAACTTTATCAAAATCGAACATGTTTAACGACAATTAGTGGATCCTACAAAGTTAACGGGTCAAAGTTGAAAGTCGTGATTACCGATGAAAGGGCATAGTTTCAACACACAATTATTGTGTTTATAGATTTGGTTAAATGTCAATATCATAAAAATTCATTAATAAAATTAAGAATAAATTAAGGGGCCGTTTATCAAACGTTTATCTGGGTAAACGTTTATCAAGTCACATCAACTTACCGGATTAATATGGTAAAGACCAAGAATCTTACCCGATAAGAGCAAGGCAAGGACCAAGAGTCTTATCTAGTAAGTGAGGATGGGAACTCTTACCACGGTTAGCGTTTGTCGGGTAAATTGTTGCATACGATGCCCTTTTTATTGACTAAAATCTTACCCGGTAAGTAAGTGATAGTGTTGAATTTTACTGGTAAGCGCTTTCCGGATAAGTGTTTGGTAAACGGCCCCTAAATATGTCTTTTAGACACAATTTTTCATAATATTAACAACAAAGATAAAAATGTTGAAACAACTATCTAAGAATATCTATGTAATGTACATTTTCTTATGGTTTAAATATAAGAGCGGGTTTAAACGAGAACAATGTCAATTTACAATAATTGATCACGGCCATCCATCTCATCCAATCTTATGGTTGTCGTTAACTTACAAAAATAGGTAATTTTCATTTGGAAGATTTTTAATTAATTAATTACTCGAATATCTTAAATTCCGTTATCTTCTTAATTGGATTCAGTTATTTTTAGATATAATCAACCAACGATTTCTTTGTTTCGATTACGTTTACACAATTTTTTTAGTAATGAATTCATGTTATAGATCATGTATTTTATCATATGTAATATTATATACTGATCTATTTACATTGAATCATATCTGATATTGTTCATGAATTTTCATGTTTTTTTAAAAGAAAAGCCAATGCATTAACCAAAACAGAACAAAATAAAAACAGATTTTTGTATTTTACCTTGTATCTTATCACATTTTGATACTGGTAACACATTTCTGTGTTTTTCCATGTACCTTATCACATGTGATACTGGTATTGGGTTCTCACGTTTTATTATAATATATTTGACACATGTGAGTCGATACATGATCATAAGAGCAATACGAAGTACGAACCTTTATTTGAATCAGATGTGATATGCTATACATATAAACACATAAAATTGTCATATTATATTGATTCACATGTGATTCAATACAAGATAATACATACCCATCACATGTGATTCAATAAAATCCAAAAATAAATCAACACCATTGAAATACCTTGCAATCACATGTTCAAACGACATTAAAACCCCATATTTGTTTGGATTACAATCAATCAACAATGACATAATCTCGAATCTCAAATTTCCATTTGCAATGTCATAACTTCCCCTGCTAGACAAGTTATGTAGGGTGTCATTAGTTTAAGATGGTTGTTGGGTCCGATTCAAAATGAAAACGGAGATTGAATTATTGATTCAAGGTGAAAGTGACGATGCGATCGAACCACTGGTTCCAATTCAAGATAAAGTGGCAACTGAATTATTGATTCAAGATGAAAACGACGATTCAATAGATCTCTTTCATGGTCACTCATATTTGAGACTCTTGGTTCAGCTTTGTTAACCTCTGGGCCTTCTTCCCGTTCTGTCTTCATGCTTGATGAAAGTGGCATTTCAAGATGAACAGATCTCATCCCTGATTTTCTCCTATCTAAATATGATTAGGAAACTGTCTTTTTGTTCTCATATTATCCCTGAAGTCCCTGTTAGACTTCTCTAAAGAATGTGTTGGTTTGCCCATAATTTTAAAAAATGGCACCTTCTTTTTTGATCCTTTGATCAGATCGACGAATGACTCAGACTTGTTCTCGCGTCCTCATATGTTGTCTATGTGCCCGTCTAAACCTCAAACCCCCCCCCCACCCACCTCTCTCTCTCTCTCTCTATATATATATATGTGTGTGTGTGTGTGTGTGTATATGGAGAGAGCAAGTAGGTGGTCAACTTATGAGAAGCGTATATGACTTCATATAAAATGACATGTGATACAACATGTCCAGAAAGACGCAGCCAGAAAACTTGCACATTCAATAGATGGTCAACATGTGATCGATATGACCATCTTTGTCTTTCTTGTAAATTGATCATCTTCTCGTTTGAACCCGTCTCTCTATATATATAACATAAATGGAATGCAAAAAAAATGTCATTGTTTAATTTTTTTTGATAAGGAAGGGGGAGACCCCTCCAGATCAAGCAAAAAACACTAAAAAACGCAAGACAAAAAAGCACACGGGTGGAAGGCGAACCACAACCACCAGAAAAGGAGGGAAAGAGAGAGCCAACCACACAGGAAGAGACCAGGGAGGCAAGACCTGAGCAAAACAACGGGGAACAACCGAGGAAAGGAAAAGGGGCCTAAAACAGGCACACCCTAGACCAGACCAACAGAAAGATCATTGTTTAATTATTGTTTTGTATTCAATAAAATACAAAAATAAAATAATAAATTTGTTGAATAATATTCTTCACCACATGCCCTGTTTCAGAGGGGGAATTATTTTAGGAATCAAAAAATAATTCTTTTTGTACCATTAATTTTTATGTTTATATATTTTTCCTTTTCAATTCAATCATTTTCAAGTTCATTATTTAAAATGCCATTTTTGGTATCATGTTGAAATATTTGTTACTTAACTTTGCTTTCACACATACATGGTCATGTGTATCACATGTGACATGACAAGGCTATTCATTGGATTTAAAAATAAAAGTTTAAAAAAGAAAATTGGGATTCTGGTTTATAATTATAAATCCCTTTGTGGCCACGAATGTTTAAATGCGATAGCTTCGGACTATCTACAAAAAAGGTGGTCGTCATGTGATTAGTCGGATCGTATAGCGGGTTAGATATCCAGGTTAATAAAAACTTATAATTTCAAAAATAAAATGAACCAAACGTATCTGATATATTCCGTTTACAGTAACACATAATGCAAGCAGATATTTTCTTTATCTCAAAAGATACAGAGGTTGTTTTTTTCATGAACACACGCGACTTGCAAAAAAGTGACGGAGAGACAAAAGTACCAAAAATTCGAAAGCTTAGTGCCAAGATATCTGTTCAAGTGTGAAAGAAAAAGAACCGTTATGGTTATATTATAGACCGTAGATTTTCGACTCAAGTTTCATTGCAGCTAATTCTTTGGATTTCTTGATCTATACCAGATTTTGCATGCCTTTTTCGTATGTTTTGTTTTCAATATAAAATAAAAATACAGATAAACTCATTGTGTAAAGAAGACGTTTACGTTGTTAAGAATAAGGCTTTGTTTGGTTTTTTTATAAAAAAACTCTTGTTAGCCTCTTATGTTTGATTCGTTAAGAGGTAACGTCATCTAGACTGTTTGTTTTTTTCAATTTTTTCAGAGACACTTATGTCTTATTGTCCTCTTATCTGGTGAGAGGTAAATCAACCTATTATTTGCCTCTTATTGTCCTCCAAACCCTCAACAACGGCGTTTCTCAATCGATTAACTTTAATTGATCATTTCTCTCAATCAATCCTTACACCAAATCAATCATCACTTCTCTCAATTGATGTATTTTTATAGGATTTAAATGTGTTGAATGCGTTAATGACATATTTCTGTTTAAATAAATGCTAATTATATAATTTAGATGTAAATTTCGTAATGATGATGAATAAATATGTGAAATTGTATAAATTTTATTTATAAATTTCAACAATATAATTTTTTAATGAGTAAAATAGACAATTTAACAAATTCAGACGTTTATCAGTTTACAAAAATAAACAGTTTCATTAATTCAGATTTCAAACGTCAGCACCACCTCTTATATAATCAGAAACGAAATAAGACTTCAGACTTCAGCACCTGTTACAAAACAAACGTCACCTAAGTTTTATTACCACCACCATCAGGTTTAAAAATATATGTCTGCCAGAAATCTTGTACTAAAACAATCACAATCTCAGTGATTTATATAGTTAGGGTTTTTGTGATCCTACGTTACAACTCAAATTTAAGTTTTGATATGCTGTTATATATAGCTTCTCAATTTTCCAGCAACGACGTCTGGTTGTGATATAAAACAGATTACACTGGTAACACCTTAAAGAATCAACAAAATATTTAGTGGTCACTTGCGCTACCACATTATTGCGTATAAATCCGCCTATGCGACACCAAGACATTAAACAGTCATATATCCCGTCTCTAAAATCATGAAAACACACGATTTTTATGGCTTATTTTGTTACGATCGCTATAACCGTGGTATATACCGATAAGATATTTCATATATAACATTTACTAAATGATATTTTTTTTCGTCAACTACGAATATAGGATTTCTAGTCATCTGTAACGTAGTTTTACTTCTATATCTATGGGTTTTGTTATAGTTTATGTTGTTTAATCGATCTGAATACTTTTCATGTTAAACTTCCGAAGCTTCTCTCAGGTCTACTGATGAGTTTATAACCTTCTGGGATTAATAGATGGTGCAGATTGAGATACAAAATCTTTACCATGTTATGAAGTGTAATTGTATCAAAATAGAACGTAATTTTTTTTCTATTTTGGGAACCTACTTCGAAAAGCTCCATTTTGGAACCACAGGGGTGGTGCCTGATTGATTTGAACTTGACTCCAAAGGTCAAAAGTACCAGAAGGTCTGAGGTTCAAATCCAATGAGGAATAAAAATCTCCTTGTGGCCACGGAGGTTCAAATGTGGTGACTTCGGGTTATTTGCAAAACAGGTGGTCGCCCTGGGATTAGTCTGCTCGCATAGCGGGTTGGATATTCAGGTTAATAAAAAAAAGCTCCATTTTATACAATTAAGGAAACCATATTAAACTTTATGGACAAAAAATTCTTCTAGAAAATAATTATTAACCTCTAACGTTTGATATATATTATCATAGATGCCAAAATGAATAATTTGAAAATACGTCCCCACAGATAGAAATCAAAACAAAATACGTTAATGCAATTTGTGTAACAAGCCAAAGTGCATGAAAGAACCTTTAACCTAAAAATGGTGCATAGATGTTCTTTATTGGCATAAAAAAGTTCAAACAATCTTGGTACAAAGTTCCCTCTTTCCCCTTATTCATTACATGAATATACACAAATATGCTATATATAGAGAGAGAAGGGGTTGGGTTTAAACGAGAAAAAGGGTCAGAAAACACAAGAACACCTATATCACATGTGATTTTACTGTAAAATCACATGTGATTATGGAACACCATTAAAGCAACGTTGCATGGGCGACTTGGCCTATGACTAATCACATGTGATTTTAATGGAGGGTCACATGTGATATAGGTGTTCTCATATTTTTCTCGTTTGAACCTCCCCTCTCTTTATATATATTTTTCTATGAACAAAAAAAAGGATGCCAAAAGGACACCCAGTATAACATATATGAAAAAAACAATAAATTTTTCTTACTAAACTTTCCCCATTGTTCCTGAGAAGCTTTGGCTGGCATTAAAATCTCTTGAATTTGGAGGTGGAGTCAATGAAGGTGATTGATTGGAAGGGAAATCGGCCGATATAGTGTCCCAAGAATTTTTCTCGTCTTTCCAGCGTTGTCGTCGATCTAAGAATGTCGGTTTTGACGGTGATTTGACCATTTCGACCTTCCAAGTCAACATCGCTACGACTTCTGACATGGGTGGCCTTGTGTTTGCATGAGCCTGAAGGCATAGTAAAGCCACATGAATTGTTTGCATAACATCTTTTTCTACAAATCCTGCATTTCGCATTCTTGGATCTATAAGATCAATCAATTTCGACCTCTCGTATAGCTTCCATGCCTATCACCATCAAAGATACAAACTCAATTATCATCAACCAAATGCATTCTCAAACAAAAATGAACGAAAACCTTAAATTTATGTTTTTATAAAAAGATTAGTTTGGGGAAATCTTTATATGCGGTCTTTCTCATGCATTTTGCATGGATGGTACGTGACCATCTAGTTCAAACAGTAATTGGTAGAATATATGGAACCCCATTAGATTAATCTGCAAAAGAGCCCTTGAAGAAAGAAGTGTGGTTCCAACGATATATAGATAAGAAATGGTCCAAGTTTAGCCGATGTGTGAATCTAACAGTAATCTTAAGGATATGATGCGACATGACAAAAGAAAAACTTGTTCTTTTGATACGACAATAGCATGGGACGAGACTGGACTGGACTGAGTGGAACAATGTATTTTTCGTCCCACCAAAATAGATGGAACAAAAATCAAGATGGGACAATATTGGTAAATTACTAAACTAGCCATGTCAAATTAAACGCTACAACCTTTTTAGTTTTCATCGGCCTATCTCACTCTCGTCTGTCCTGTTGTATCCTGTCTACGTAGCAAACACACCCTATAAGTGGTTGCTCTAAGACTCTTGCATCTTATACTTTGGGTTTTAAAGATGATTTACAGAAGGGAGATCATTGAGAATGTGATAAAATAATGAGGGTTGTAAAATGGCTTATCAAACCATCGTATTTGGCTTCTATTTGCAAACCATCGTACTGGACACAAGATGCCAAGTACAATGTTCCATTTATGCACTTACATTACCACAGTGTTTCCACAATCGCTTATTTCTATAAGCTATAGTGTTTCTTGGTATTTTCACAAGAATAATGGTCAGTTTGCAAAAAAAAGGCCAAATACGATAGTTTAGAAAAGTCAATCCCTAAGACTGTAATGACTAAAGTGCCCTTATATTAATAAGGTTTCACAACCTAATTACCTGCTTTTGGAAAATTATCCTTTCCCTTATACTTTCAATGTAAAGAAAACTTGATCATTGAGAATGTGAAACTAGAAAGCAGGAGATGGACCTACAAATTCTGGGAGGTATTGCATTTCTGATGGTAGCATAAGATCGGTATTTTTCCTGCAGCTAATGATTTCAAGCACAAGAACTCCAAAACTATAAATGTCAGCCTTTTCGGATAATTCTCCTCTAATTGCATACTCAGGGGCCGTGTAGCCTCTATAAAACAACAGAAAGATAAACAAACATTACACTCATGATTGTGTTAACAACCACCAACATGAGTAGGGAGAGGGAGGGCACGCATAGTTTGTTTGGGTCAATATGGTCTTGTTATCAAGGGTAATTTTGGAAATAAAGAAACCGAGTGAACATTACTACCTCTGTCCCAAAATAAACGTCACATAGTTTTAGAAAAATGTAACTATTACACTTTTTACTTATGTAAATGACAATTTTACCCTTGATAACTAGAGAGTAATGAATTTCTCCATCTCATAATAAAGGGTAGGATTGGAAAATAGACACTTACTTTTGAAATGGACATTAATAATTTGGGACAAACTAAAACAAAAATGTTGGACACTTGTTTTAGGATGGAGGGAGTAACATCCTGAACATTGATGGCTTCTGTTTCTGTTATAGTTTAGAATGAATGTGTGACATCAGCGAACATCGCAATTAAGTAGAATGCAAACTCATTGTTTGATGATTATTACTCCATATTTTTAATGGGAGGAAGACTTACAGTGTCCCGGCAAATGTTGTGCTAAGATAAGCTTGGTCCTCAGGGAAGAACCTGGCCAACCCAAAATCTCCAATTCTTGGTTGAAATTTGTCATCAAGAAGAATGTTACTAGCTTTGATATCTCTGTGAACAATTCGGAGGTGTGAGTCCTCATGTAGGTATTGCAATCCCCGAGCAATGCCCAAGATTATTTGGAAGCGAGCATTCCAATTCAGATACTGGTCGCTTTTGCCTGTTCACAAAGTAAACTGAATTAGAAAGACAGAAAACGAAATAATAATCGCAGGGCACAGGTTTAATCTTAATGAGTTCTAGGCGGTGACCAAAAACTTAAAAGATGATTACTTTCTTATTCCATTCCCATGAAAGAATTGTAAGGTTTGACTGAGCACATAGTTTTGCGGAAGTGTTTAACTATTTGCCAAATATCTAAAATACCCTTCAACAATAAAACAAAAGAGAATCTTGTAAACCTCAAGGGCCAGCTCAACAAGCAAATGAAGGCTAGGCCTTGGGATTCCTCCCCATAGGTTGTCTGTTCGAGTCTCCTAAAGGCCACTAGGGATTTTCCCAACTGTTATTTTCAGGGTCCCATGGAATTAGTTGAGGTGCATGCAAGCTGATCCGGGCACCCACGGTTACAAAAAAAGTGAATCTTGTTATTGAGATCAATATCATCCAAAATCAATAACATTAATTGCCTGTAGCGATAACAATGAGCAAATAGGTGATTATAACTTTGAAAGTTTCCACAACTGAATTTTCGCAATTTTGATGGGATAGGCCTATTTCCTAGACAAGAAGTTCACTTTAGTGGTGTCAATAAATTCTAAGTTTTTGAATAAATAGCTAAAAGAAAAGTGGATATGGAATGGAATTTGAACCACGCACCGTAAAGTATGAGGTCCAAACTCTTGTTCTTCATGTATTCATACACAAGTAGCCTTTGAGGCCCTTCAGAGCAGCAACCAAGAAGTCGAACAAGATTCTTGTGTTGTATGCTTGTGATCATTTTCACCTCTGAGAGAAATTCTGCCTCTCCTTGTTGTGATTTGTCAAGAGCCAATTTCTTTATAGCAACAAGCAGCCCATCTTCTAATGTACCCTATTAAAAGCACTTAAAAGTCATACTCCCTCCGTTCCAAAAAAAAGTGCCAACATTTCTATTTTAGTTTGTCCCAATATAATTGTCCACTTTCCAATTCTACCCTTAATCATGAGATGAAGAAATTCATTACTATTTACTCCTTCTATTTTAAGGGTAAAATTGTCATTTAGTTAATCAAAAAGTGTGATAAGTACACATTTTTATAACTGTGTGCCTTTTCATTGCAAACTTTTATTTTGGGACAAAGGTATCTGTGGACGTTGATTTGCATTGCAAAATACAATATACCATGCAAATAACTAGTCGCAATGTGACAACGTTTCTCTTTTCCTTAATTTCTAGCCTTTTTTCTTCAATTGTTGGGATTTCCATAAAATATGATAACAAGCAATTCATTGGGTATTATAAAAGAAGATTTTGCAGGACATGTACCAAATAGACAGGCCCAAATCCACCTTTTCCAAGAAGATTACACTCATGGAAGTTCTTAGTTGCCTTCTTTAGTGCTTGGAAGCTAAAATGGCTAATGGTCCGAAGATTTCCACTGAAATAATCTTTTGTACCTGCACTAGGAAGTGGGATTTGATCAATTTGGCATTGTCGACAAAAAGATTAACATCAAACCATCACAGAACATAAAAGTATAAGATAAGTGACAACCTTTGTTGCTGTCTTTACGCTTTCCCAACTTTTTCAATGGTGTTCGTCTGATGAACTTCCGAAAGACGAATACAAGAATCAGCAAAATTAGAAGCACAACCAAGCCTCCCAGGAAGAAAAATAAGGCAGATGAAGAGTTGGAGCTAGGTGGGCTAGGCGAGCTTTCTTGGTTAAGTACTAATGGTGCTGGAGATGCCGCTGCATTCACAAAGTCATAGTATTCTTATTAAGAAGCAAATATAATTAAGTCTACATAAATGGATATTTCTCCATTTATGTTTCTCATACCTCCATTAGATTAAACAAGAAACATGATACACATGAAATATTTGTTTTAAAAGAAACAACTCATCTTAAAAGATAGCATACAATGATGCTTCATTTTCTTAAAAGATCCCAAATTTGGGAACAGTTTAGCCTTTTGAAGTAGAATGATCAATATAAAGATTTGTTTTGAACTGGCAAAGGATGTAGCATATCACTCAAGTGTACAAAGATACAACTTCTTTAATAAGACCTACAAAGGGGTTTAACACGTTACTCTAGCCATCCTATTAGAGGGCATGCAATACTATCTTTAACTTTCTCTCACACTACAAATCCATGGATTAACTAAAAAAAGGTCAAAATTCCAATGTAATGAAAAAGGGACAATTGCAAAAATGACTATAGTTGGAGTTGACCCATCATAGATGGACAACTTTTCCAAATTAGCACAAAATAACCACCTATTCCGCAAAAACCATGAGCAAAAAATATTTTGTCGAAATGTATTTTGTGGCCTCCTTTATTCGGCTTGTGGCCCTCTTTGCAAAACTACAAGCAAAACCCAGAATTTCACAAAAAAGATGGTTTTGCTCACCTTTGTGCGATACGGGCCACAAAAAGCGAAAAAGATCTTAAAAATGTATTGTTCACATAAAGAAAAGGTTTTTACTCATGCTTTTTGCAAAATAGGTGGCTATTTTATGCTAATTTGGAAAAAGTTGGTCACATATTGTGATGTATCAACTCGAATTTTGGCTATTTTGTGATTATTCCATGAAGAAAAAGAATACTCCAACGCACCCCAAATCAAAGAGTGTCTTAGCATTAAACCATTCTAACAGGCATTTCCTTGCTAAAGGACTACGTGCAAAATTCTAACAACAAAGAAACCATTTCTAGTAGGCAAAAGTATCTACAACACAAACACCTGCGTGTATCTTTCAGTATTTTCTAAGAGAATGACTTGTTTGCTCCTTTCTTCCTTATTCAGCAAGTACTGTGATTGTTTAAGTTCAAATTGTCAATGACTTGTGAACCAAATCATATTTTATATCAGAGTCATCCATGCACACCAGGTGTTTGTTCAAAAGTTCCAGAGACAAGTTATGGAAGATCACAATTGCAACAAAAGAACAGCAATAGTAAAGATTTTTTCAGACAGTAAGATCAAGATAAATACCTTCAAGTAAGCTGCGCATCGTTCTCTATCAAATTTAACGATAACTGTATTCAGAATTCTCCAAAGGCTCATTAGACGATAAGATGAAAGAGAAATGGTGGGTATTCTGAGGAACCACCCAACTGCTCGAATACCAACATCTTTTTGCCGCAGTAGAGAGATTGAGAAAAAGAGAGACAACAGAGTAAAGAAGGAAGAGATGAACGACAATGTGGAGATTATCGAAGAAGACATTGTAAAGTATCTGAGATTTCTAAGTTTTATAAATCCAAAGTCAGAAGAAACAGTGTCTTGTTGTTGAAGTCGGCAATCAAGAAGGAATGATGGATGCTATTGCTTCGCTGTGATTCGAATTGCGAGTAGAATTCTGATATCGCAAACATTCCTTGTTCTTAACGTTTGTCTTGACTTGAAACTCGTAGGAATCTGCAGCGAAGTGACGAGAAACATGAATCATCCTTTTACGCACTAAATTCATAGCTATTTTTCATCACAGGGACGATAATCGCAGTTTCTAAAACACAGGAACCAGATCGAATTATCAATAAATCACATGACGAAAACCATAATTTACTTCATGAAGGTTGAAATCTATCGATAATCCGATATCGTAAGCCTAATGACCCAGAGTGCTGTTTGGCTGTTGCCAAATGGTTTTGTACATAATTATTAAGTAGTAAAAAAGATAAAATGAGTAACCAGTACAAAATAAAATATAATTATTTGGTAATTATTTATGATGAAATTAGGGCTCTTAATAGCTAGGGGAGGCTCAAGATATAAAATCATTCAGAGCGTTTTAGAATCATTAAGAGATAGATTTTTTTTGCCAAACAAAATTTATCTTTTAATGATTTAGAGATTGTCTCTTAATGGAACTATTCAGAGGTAAACAAATTGATTAATAGAAGGTACTCACACAATGCAGCGTGATAGATCATAATTTTAATATTACGTTTTATTCTTTATCTTAGTCGATGTTATAATATGGTCTTATATGATTTTAAAAAAATGAAAAGATTTTATTTTTGAATAAAATATAAATTTAAAAATATCATAAAAATTTGATAAAAATATATCTATATTAGTATCAAATTTAATATTTAAAATTTCTCCTTTTTCGTGTAATTTTTAATTAAAATTTTTTATTATAATTTAATTAGGTTTAATAACGAAGCAATTTATATTTGATTTCATAATATAATTTTTTATAAAGATAATAATTAATTATATTGTTAAAACTCAATAATTATCCTAATTATATTTTTAATTTTTTATATATGTTAAATGAGATGTTTATCCTCTGTTTGATTATGTTTATCTGCAGTTAGTTGCACGAATTCAAACATGGAGCTTTAATAATTTGTAGTTACATTGTAATCTTGACTGTTAAGTAATATGCATCAATAGACAGTACTTTATGCATAAAAATGGTTTTTAAGAGTTTTTATCAAATATTTTATAATATAGTATAGATAATAAATATTTTTTTTAAAATATGTTTCTCTTTGCTTTTTGTCTTTCTGCTTTTCATCTTTTGTCATCGTAGGACCAGTTATGATCCGACAGACTGGGACCGGTTACATTAGTTATGGAATTTCAAGATGGCCCGACCCGGGACCTTATATGATTAAGCCCAATTATTAAAGAAAAATTAAGTTTTTATAAATTTTATTACGAGTTTTTAAAAAGTTTACACGATTTTAAAGTTTTTTCCAAAGTCTTTCACAAGTTTTTATCTACTTAGATGTATTATGAGAGTGTATTTTATTGTTAAATTAAAAAAATCATAATTATAAAAACCCGTATAACATTTTTGTGTAAAATGAATATATTTAAATATATCGTTTTTTAACCCGAACAGGCCTATGACCAGATTTGGACTAGTTGGATGGGACTGAGTAGAAATGGCAAAAAACCGGTCTCGGGCCGGTCCTTAACCGGTCCCGGTCCCGGTTCCAGTGAAATACCTTGTAACCGGTCAAGCTTACCGGTAACCGGTTAAGGAATCCGGTCCCAGTTCCGGTCCCGGCCAAAAAAAATATTTTTTTTTCAAATTTTTGTTTATTAATAAATTTTTAATATGTTATTAATATGTTTGTAATATGTTATTTTTAATATGTTTTATATAAATACATTTAAAAATATGTTTTGTTATATATATACATTTAATTTTATAAATACGTTTAAAAATATGTTTTGTTTTATATATATATATATATACGTTTAATTTTATAAATACGTTTTGTTATACATATATACACGTTGACTTTTGTTGACCGGGCTGGGCCGGGTCGGTCCTATAACCGGTTACATAACCGGTTCCGGTCTTAACCGGTCTCGGTCCTAGAAAACGTTAAAATCCATAACCGGTTCATAACCGGCGATCCACAACCGGTCCATACCGGCGGTTACGGGCCAGGCCGGGCCCATTTGACCATCTCTAGGAACGAGATAGGTAACTGGGCCTAGATGGGCCCTAGAATTTTTTTTTGTTGGGATCGGTACAGGTAACTGGGCCTAGATTGTACCTAGGATTTTTTATTAGGACTCGACCCAGTTTTAAAAGGACCGATTTGGGAACGACTCAAGACCAATTTTGGTCATCTCTATGGCATTGGTATCTTCATTCTCAAAGCTTTCGTTCTTTCTTTATTTAAAAAGAACCTCTTAATAGTTCCATTAAGAAGCAGTCTTTGAATCGTTAAAAAGTGAATCTTGGTTGGCAAAAAAAAAAAAATAATTTGTCTCTTAATGGTTCTAAAACCCCCTAAATGATTTTGTATCCTGAGTTTCACTTAACCATTCAGCGTCCTAATTTCATTGTAAAAAATTACTAAAAAATTATATTTCATTTTGCACTATATCATAACAGTCTCTTAGTCATCTGATCACTTAGTCATTCTGTATCAAATCATTCGGCAACTGCCAAACAGCCCCTTAGTCTCTAATGGGTGTTTTGCTTGACAAGGAATTGATCGTTTTATATTTGACTCTTTTTTCCGAAAAGATTCTTAAAGAAACCAGATATCTAAAATACTATTTTTCTTCAGTAAGTGCTAACCGGATAAGAGTCGTCACCCTCACATACCTGGTAAAATTATCGTTCATTGCCATCACTCTTAGTGGGTAAGATCTGCAATGATTGTCATGTTCATCCGGTAAGATAAGTAACGATAAATGCTTATCGGATAAAACGTTTGGTAAACGAACCTTTGATTATTCATTATGCATAGAAAGTTAGAAACTCAATTTACCCATCATGTTTAACAAATTAAATTAATGATACGTGGAATCCTACAACCATTAAATAAAATTTATATACTGTAAGCTTTTATATGTCCACGATACGTATCACATAGCAACATCGTCAATGAGTATGTAAACCTATAGAGTCGCACACAAAGAATACATATGCTTTTATATGGTTATTGGATAATCAGAAACCTGCATTATGTAATGTCAATTTTTAAAATAGGTATTCTAACAGAATAACTACTATATATGTTAAAAATATAATTATTATAATTACAAGTTTTATTTGTAAAATATATTTTACTATTAATTTTATTATGATTAAAATTAAATAAAACCTTTATGCACTTAATTTATTAATGGACTTAAAAGATAATCGCAAGCCTAATCCAAGCTTTTACCACTAAGCTGGAAGGTTTTTGACTATATATTATGTTTTGTAGTTGTGTTTGCATTTTATTTATTTATTTATTTTCCATTATTGCTATAATGAGTGCAATTTTTTTTAAAATAAAATCAAACGTAAAATATTTTAAACTAGTAAATAAATTACTATATATTTGAATTGCTATGTTTATGAAAAACAAAACCAGGTTATATGTATATATAGAGGTGAGTAATATACAACTCTTTATATTTATATAATCAATACAACTCATTCTCAACCGTTCATTTAATTTGATGAATATGTGATTTCATAAAAGTTTAGATTGTTTCTTAATATAAAGTATTGATCATAATTAATGAACTCTAGTCATATTTCATAAATATTCAAATCATAATAAATAAATTCTCATCATTGTCATAAATATCCCAATTGATTGGGTTACATTAGTTGTACAAATGTAATTAGTTGCATTTGAAACGTCTTATATATAAAATAAACGTCCTATATATATATGTATATTATAATATTTGAATTTGTTAAAATAAATTTTAGAAAAAATATATTCTTTATGATTTTAAATAACCATTACATATAATATAAATAAAAATAAAAATGGTTTACCTCATATGTCCTAATTAATTAATAGTTTTTAGAAAAATATATTTAAAAAATGTAAAAGAACAACCAATATGGGGAAAAT